TCTCCACTCCGCACTCCCCCCATCATTCACTATGGTAAGATTTTTTGTTCTGATGATGCCTTACACCTTAGGACGTTTATCTTAACCTTTTCATTTTATTTTTTTTTTTTCAACAATGTTTTTGTTTGTTTTTCATATGATATTTGTACTTTTCACTCACCATTCTGTGTCTGCTAGGTCTACCCCCGTTGTAAGGGGTCTCAGATACATTATTCTTGAACGTCTCTTGGTATTCCACTGTGTGAGCATGTATCCTAGTTTAGCCTGCCAAGGTGGGCACTCGGGTGCTTTTCATCTTTCTGCGATTGTGTGTTGACCCGGTGGGCCCCCGGGAACATTGATTCACATTGGCAACTCTTTGTGCTCTTAGATCTATATACCCAGTAGCTAGAAGGGTTGGGTCGTATTTCTATTTCCAGCGTTTCAAGGAAGTGCAATGTTGTGTTCCATGGTCATTAACGGATCATTGTGCAGCCCCACCAGTACTGTGTACAAGGGTTCTGGTCCCCACGCTCGGCATGTGTTCTTTTCTGCAAGGATGAGATGATTTCGTTGACTTGCTTTGGGGAGTAGACATGTTAAGTCTTCCTATCATGAGGGCCCCACGTGACAGTAGGAATCGACCCCAGGGGGGCTATGAGAGGGCCATCTTTACAGAGCACCTGGTCTTTTTTTCAGGCAGAACAACTGGGTGAGTTCAAACTGCCAACCTCTGGTCAGCAACTGAGCCCTTTAATCATTGTACCACGTCCTTCTGGGAGTTGGTTTCAATACATCTCATAGGTTACTGTAAGGCAACTTAAAACACTTTTCATTGGACTTTACATCTCACTGAGATACGAAAGGCAAGAGCTTATTTCTAAAGTTTAAAAATATTGTGTACCCCTTTGTTTCTACCTAGGTACAAGATAGTTTCAAAAACTCAATACTTCATCTTCGTTTTCTCTAGCCTCAAATAGGGCCTGAATCAGTAGCCCTAAAGCAGCGGTTCTCAACGTCTGGGGGTTGAACGACCCTTTCACAGGGTCAACTGATTCATAACAGTAGCAAAGGTACAGTGATGAAGTAGCAACGAAAATAATTTTATAGTTGGGGGGGTGGCGTACCACAACATGAGGAACTGTATTGAAAGGGTCACGGCATTAGGAAAGTTGAGAACCACTGGCCCAAAGGGAGGGCCTTGCTTAGAATTGGCTTTTTCAACCATCTCCCCAGATGCTGATCCAGTTGAACCTAGCGACCACATGTTAACAACTACTGCTCTCGTTAACTCAGACCCGACAGTGAAGCTGAGACAATTCTATGGTGGTTGGACATTCAAGGATGACTTTGTTCTGTTTTCTCCTGCAGCCTGGAATCTTGTTCCACTACCTTCGACCAATTGGCGGATATCTTCTTCATCCTTAAAATCAACCAGTCTTTAACATGCCTGAGTCTCACAGACATTGAACTCTTGGATGAGGGTATGGCATCGCTGTGTGACACACTGGAGCACCTGGAGTGTTCCCTACAGAAGTTGTCGTAAGTCTACTCCTGGGAAGCCCATCTCCACTTCCGGTCTGGGTACCAAGAGGAGTGGGTGCAGTGGTTAACACTTCAAATGGAGAGCATGCTAAGCAATACATAGGATAGAAACGCTTGGCTCCCATTTCTGGTACCAGAGACGGTGACCTTGTATCTTGTGTTGCCCTTCCTGTTCGTTCATGTCTGATCACTAGCACAGGAAAGGGGATGAGGTGAAGGGGGACTTGGTGGGTAAAGGGAGTCGCCTGAAGAGTTGTAGCTGAGGACTCTCCAGCATCTGGAGAGCGAAGAGGGCGGGACTGTGGAAGTGCTCCCACCATCCTAACTTTGTGTGCTGCATCTACAGGTTGGAAAAGTGTCTTCTCACCAAAGCCTGTTGCAAGGATCTCTCTTCTGCTTTGGTCAACAACCAGAAGCTGACACACCTGTGCTTGGCCAAGAATGATCTGGGGGATGATGGGGTGACGCTTCTGTGTGAGGGCTTGAGTAGCCCTAAATGTCGTCTACAAACCCTGGTGTAAGTCTCTACACTACACACCTCCCGTTCACACACCCTGCCCATTCTCCACACGAGTCTTCAGGAGGCTAAAGCGGAAGGCGTTGGCTGGGCTTGTGCTCCCTCTGAAAGCTCTAGTGTGGCCCATTCCCTTTCGCCTTTTCAGCTTCTAGAGCAGCGGTTCTCAACCTGTGGGTCTCCACCCCTTTGGGAGTCAAACAACCCTTTCACAGGGGTCACCCGATTCATCACAGGAGCAAAATTAGTTAGGAAGTAGCAATGAAAATAATGTTATGGTTGGGGGGTCACCACCACGTGAGGAAGTGTATTAAGGGGTCAGACATTAGGAAGGTTGCGAACCATGGTTCCAGAGGCTTCCTGCATTCCTTGCCTTGTTTCCTTTCATTTCCAAAGCCTTCCCGTCAAACCACGTGGACCTCGATCTTCTAGCACATCCCCTCCTCTGCCCTCTCCCTTGAGTCTCTTTCTCCTAGGACAGTCTTTCCCCCTCTCTTTAAAGGCTCCTGGAATTGCCTTAGGCCCACCCAAAATAATCTAAGATAACCTCCCCCATATTAAGAACTTTATCCACAGCTGCAACGTACTCTGTGCCCAATAAGTACCCAAATCCACAGATCTCGGGATTAGAACAATGGACATCTTTAGGCTGTGCCTACCCGATCTCCAGGTGTGGTATAAGCAGTTTGTAGACTCACACTGCTCACCAAAAGCTCACTGGTTCAACGTTCCCTTTGACCTGACAGTCTGCCTCTAATCAGGATCATCAGGTAAGGCATCATGCCACGAAATCCACCCAGAGCCCTGGAGTCAAGGGCAAAGAGCTTTGGTGCGTGTTCTTCACTCAGACCCTACCGCTCCATCACTTCATTCTCAAATCTCACTTTCCAAGACCGATGGTATTTGGAACCTTGAGCCAACAGATCTTTTCTTCATCTAACATGTGATTGATTTCCAGGCTGTGGGACTGTGGCATCACCGATGAGGGCTGTAGTCATCTCTCAAAGCTGCTCCAACAAAAGTCGTGCCTCACCCAGTTGGATCTGGGTATGAATCGCATAGGATTCACCGGACTGAACTTACTGTGTGAAGCCTTGAAGGAGCCGACGTGCAGCCTGAAATGTCTCTGGTAAATTACACATCTTGAACTTGAAGATCTGTATGTGAAAGATCTGCGTGGCACCCCCTTCGGCTATGATATTTTGAGGGGCATTGCTACTTCAGGGGTTGGATTCTCACCTTCCATGCAGGAGAGAACTACATGTGGTTCCTGACAGATGTACCTTGTGCATAGTTCTCCCCTCCCCACCTCCCCACCTGGTCTTATCAATGGACACCTGGGATGAACGGGCCTTTTAAAAAAAAATATATATATATATATATATATAAATTTCTTTAAATATATTTAGATATATATATAATTTCTTTAAATATATTTAGATATATATATAATTTCTTTAAATATATTTAGATATAAATATATAATATATATCTCCATATTCATGGAAAAGTGTGTGTATGTATATATAAGTTGTGTATATATAAACATATATGCACACATACACAACTTTTCCATGTATTTAAGGATATTTTCAACATTCAGCTATATAGAAATCTCTGGGCAATTACACACGCAACCTCATTGGTCCTGCCAAATGTAGCACTTTTAAGAAGTTTCTAGAAAATAATCACAATTATTTGGCGGGGGAAGGTTACCAGCCTGTACATAAGGGGGATGATTTTCAATAAAATGTCAACATACAATATATTATAGGTAACAGACAGATCTTTTTACCACTTGGAATGCCAAGTATATCTTTCTGTTTTGAGCAAGGATGAATGTTGGCTCTTTTGTTGTTCAACAGCACAGGTAATTGACATACAATGACAAAACACGCCCATTCTGATACAAGAGAAATTTCTGCGGAGAGCATCAAAGCACAAAACACGTTCCTTTTTCCATCACTGACAGCAATGCTTAGCAATCACGAAAATGCTAACCTCCGCTACTAAAATTAGTGATTGTCATGGGCCCTTTTTTAATCTACTTCGGAAAACACCGTGGAGCACAGTTGGGATCAAGTCAACAGCAACATGTCTGGTTTGGGTTGCAAAGGTCTAGCTTTCTCTTCCCTCAAACATTTGACTTGCCCTCTCTGGTTCACTGTCTGACTGTGCCTTGATACTCGTCAGTGTAATTATATCTAACCTTACCCCAGATTTCTCTGGTGCAAGTGTGTGCATGTGCATAGAGAAGTGGGGGATAGGTTGCATTTCAGACCATCAACTCTGCACCCAACAATTGAAACACCACCCCCAACTTCAATATTCTATCCACCCCCCTTCTATTCTATCCACCACCAGCTTCTCATCTCCCTCTTATGGATCTCCATCCTCCCTTCTGCCTTTGGGAATCTTGAACATCTGTTTCCGTTGATATTCATCTTTGTGCCTTGGTTTTCAACCTTCCTGTAGTGGTTTCATACAATATATGATTCACTTGACTCAGCATAACGTTCCCTACGTTGTGAACATTGTTGTGCGTGTATCTGTGCTGCAGTTCTTGATCTCTCTAGGACACGTACCTGGCTGGTGGGAGGATGGCTGGAACATTGCTGTTTTCGATAGTAAGGAGGTGTTCCTCTGTTTTCCAAAGTGGTTGCACCATTTTACAGTCCCACCAGCAGTGCGTGAAGTTCTAGTCTCTTGACACCCTGTGAGCGTTGCACTTTAACTTGTCCACTCATGTTGAGGTAAGATGCTCTCACTGTTGTGATCCGATTCATGATACAAATCAAGAGCATTTCTTCATGTTGACTTCCTCTTTGAAGACTATGAATGTCCTTGGCCCATTTCTGAACGGATTATTTTGGAGATGTTGAAGGGTCTATAAACTGTGGGGATTAGTCCCATGTCCAACATGCTAGTCTCTCCTCCTTGGGTGGCACATACGTGTCTAATTTTGGGGAGATCCTGGTCAGTCTAGTTTGTCTTCTACTGATGTGGTTTGGGTTTTCCTTGGCAGTGTATGCCAAAGAGACTGACTCTTCTCTACTTTTAGAAGTTTCAGGTTTGTTTTTTTTTTCAGAGATTAGCTGTTTCTAGGTAGATGGATTTACTTCTAGATTCTCAATTTTGCACTGTTGAGCTGTGTCAATATGCCAGACTGCCACTCGATAATTCATTAGTTTGTTTCCTGTCATTCATTGTAATCCCCAGAATGAAACTTCTCCCCACTTTTATGTTTCCTAACCCTTCTGAACTTTGGGTGAACACTGCCTTTTGATCTTAAATGGTTGCTTATTCTAAGGAATGTGGACACCTCTCTAGTGCCATGGTTCTGCTGACAGACCCATTTTGAAGGCCTGGAGGCACTGTTGAACTGCTAACCACAAGGGTGGTTCAAACACAATAGTCATTCTGCAGGAGGATAAGGCTGACTATTCCTATGAAACTCAAAGCATGCGACTCAAATGGAGTAGATTTTATTAAACTAGTATGTTTGGCGGAAATTTCCATCACAGGTGAGTTCAGTTCTAGACCTGACGGCAGGGGAGGGGATGTGATTAATGGCCATAGACTCGGGGGTTCTACCCATCTCTAGCCTACAAGTCAGTATGAAGCTACCTCTAACAACCGTTCTGTAGGGCTCATATCAAAGGCTCTGGACACAGTGAGAAATATGATGGGGCAAAAGCCAAAAGACCAGGTTTGCCGGTTGGATAGAACGGCAGAACCAGAGACTATGGTCCTCTGACACCCTTCAGGCCTAGAATTGAACTCACTCTCGTGCCAAACGACTATAAAGAGGGAATGATAACACTAGGGAGGTATGCACATCTTCAGAATAATCAACCATTTAAGATGAAACAGAGTAGCATTTACCCCAAGACAAGGCTTGGGGAAAGTGGAAAAGGATGAATGGAAGCAGGAAGCAGGGGAGGAAGTGGAGTGGGAGAAGTGAGGACTGTATCCAATGAGATGGGAGAGAGAAGACGGGGAAAGGAATTGTAGAGCAGAACCCGGATTGTAAACCTTTACCACAGTAGAACTTTTCTGAATACACGTTAGTTGAATGAATGGCGCTAACCTTTGTTTCCCCCACTACGTTGTGGGGATGTGCGCTCATGCCTTTCAGTTGCGTGGACCTCTCATCTGCCCTCCAAAGCAACGAGAGCCTGACCACTCTGGACCTTGGCCAGAATCCTTTGGGGGCGTAGTGGGATAAAGAGGTTGTATGAAGCCTTGAAATACCAAAATTGTCCCTTGTGGAAACTTAGGTATGACCCTTTCAGTCTTCATAGGGTTTCTCCCCTAATTATTGCAGAAACGTGGACACACTTGATTTTTTTTTAATAGGCATCTGCATTCTCGTTTTTATTGACTTTTGGTCTTCAGAGAATTCTGCATCTCCCCTCTCAATCTGAAACCAAAAATCCTTGGGTTTATGACATTATTTCATAAGAAGGAACTATAGTGGTCAGCTATGGTCATCTTGTAAACGTAACCACAGATCTCATAGGGTGATGTTTAGAAAGCGTTTGCATCCTGGTTATGTTAGAGGTGTGGGGAGTGTGTTCGCTTAGATTCATATACACTTGGAGGAGTCTTGTGGAAATAGGCCATAGGTGATGCCATCACTGGCTGGCTCTTGGCTTCTTGCTCATCGGAACAAGTTATCATTGGGTTGTTTACTTAGAAGCAAGAATCTCTTCAGAGTGTAGACTTTCTCAAATTCTCAGGTGCAACATAGACCGCTGACAGCTTCCAATTGCCATCATTGTTTAGATGTTTGGATTATATAGAATCTATACTCCAAAGGTAGATACTAGTCAAAGGGGGGGGCATATGAGAAGTTTTTTCCTACAACACCCCACCACCACCACCACCACCACTGACATGTATTTCAGTCACGGTCGAGCTGCCCATCAATGACTGGTCGAGCTGTCACCTTAAATCAGCCAATCAGACTTTTTTTTTTTTTTCAGACATTATTTTCTGGGTCTTTGAGTCTCAAGATGAATTAGTTCATGTGAAGAGCTTGCCTTCTGGATCATAAATTGTAGAAATTCAGAAAAGCCCTAGCCATTCTTTTAGAATTCAGTCTTTCCAATGCTATCTACGCTCCCGTACCCTAATACACCCTTTCTATTCATTGCAGTCCTGAAATACCTCCTTCTTGGGCTCTGTAACATGCTTCAGCCTTCTAATGTAATCCTTCATGCCCTACTTCTGTTCCAATGTTTTTTGAGGAACACCTCTGAATGGGGAAACAATTTTGTTTCTCAAAATTGTAAGGATCTTTGACCACAGTCATTTTCAACTTTGTTGTGAGTTGAGTCAGTGGACTGAGTAAATTGGCTTTCTATTCAATTCATACACATTTCACTTTGTGGCGGTGATCGCAATCCCAATACTGTAGCAGTACTCTTCTCACTTCCTCCCCATCTTCCCTCCCATCCCTTGCTGCTGTCTGAGCTTTATTGGGAAAATGGTGCCTTCCTGATCCCCTGTGGTTGGGTGCTCTCCAGGCATCCCATGGTGAGCATCTGTATTTGCACGTCGGTTGTGTCACAGGGATCAGTGAGCCCTCTTTAAAAGTGGCTTAAAGTTGCTTGGTTCTGACTTTAGTGGAAGTTATTTTGGTAGCCAGCAAGCCTAGCTTAAGGTTGGATGCTAAATCTTCAAGATTTTTTTTTTAAGATCATTTGATAGGGACCTCTTACAACTCTTGTTACAAACCACACATCAATTGTATCTGACATATTCGTACCTATATGCCATCGTTCTTTTTAGACACTTGCTTTCCATTGATCCCTTGGGGATCAGCTCTTCCAAGATGACTTTTGAATGTATTCACAAACCCAGGGACTAGGGAGCTACCAAGAAATACAGCAGCTAATCTCCTTGGTCACCTATTTTCATGCTTTGCTTAATTCTCCCCACCTCCACCCCAAGTCCACTTGCACACAAGTGGATGTAGTTACCAATATCAGTTGCCGTTAAGCTTGTTCTGCCTCATGGTTACACCACCTATGCCAAGCTGATCCATGAGGGTTTCAGCAGCTGCCTTGCAGACATTAGCAGATTTTAGGTAGACTCAACCCTCCCCAACCTTTGGTTAGCTATCAACCAAGTGGTGTTAACTGTTTACACCACCCAGGGACTCCTGAATATGGTTACCACAAGTCTATCCTCGAACTGGGATTGGTATCTCATGCCAAATATGGTGGCTAGCTCTCTAGTATCTTAGCCAAGGGGTGGGAGGAGAATTAACACCTATGTGGGTCAGTACCTACATCTTTTTCATTGGGACTGGTCTACCAAGGAGTTAAACTTTTAAGACTAGGTGTTAAAGGCATTAGACCACCAGGGGTGTTACCAGTTTAATCTCATTGAAAATATAGAATAATGACCATCACAACTACAATCCCATAGGAGCTTTATACTATCATGGCATTAACTTGTTTTCCTTTACCTAGCAAATAAACGTAGAAACACCACCACCCCTACTGTTAGACTCAAAGCGTGAGATTTGTGGGCACTTTTCTGGAGTTTGGAGTTGATTAAAGAAGCAAAGTCGGACACATGATTTTGGTTTTTTTAACCCTCTTTGTCCCTCAGGTTAAAGATCGATAAGTCTGATACTGCAACCCAAAAGCTGCTGGACGAAGTCAAAAAGAGCAATCCACAGTTGACAATTGAGCAGGACAACCATGAGCCCAGAAGAAACCGATTTTCCTGTCCTGAATTCCTTTTCTGAACCGCCCCCTCTGGGTTGGGATGGGATAGCTTTCCTTCCACAAAGGTGATGGTGAATTCCCCTGTGAGCCTTCTTGGTCCCCTAATTTGGTGACGAGGTGTCATCTTCTGCTTTGTTTTGTGTGCTGTCCCTGGGTGGGAGCATCTGAAATGTGCACAAACCACTTCACCCTGCTATGTGAAGTGCCTGAGTCACAAGTGTACCAAAAAATAAAGGTGAACGCATTCAGACAAGAAGCAGTACTGACGAGTTCTTGACAAAAGTACCTTATGTTGGTGCATGTCCTTGCTATTCATTGTGTGGTTTGGGTTTCTCTTGACCCACCTGAGTTTTGCTGCCTGATACGTATTCCTTGCTAGACTATCTTCCCAGCTATCCAACATTTCAGGCTCCAGGGTTAGTGAGGTGCTTTCAGTCATGTCAATGGCCCCAACTTACCGAAAGTAGAATGTCATGGGTTTGTAAGTAGTGCTTTCCTCTCTGATCTTCATTCCCTGCTGGCCTACATTATCACCACCCCACCCCCAGCCCAGCCAAAGAATTTATTTAGCGCTAACACATCCAAGGCAAGGATCAGAATCCTCAATATACCTACCTGCGTATGTACCTGCTTGTTCTGTACACATTGCAAGGTAGTGTGTCTACTCCAACTCTTACCATACTCCATGGACAATAGACAGAAACAATTATGTAAACCATTGTGCCCATTTATTGTCTTATTTTGCTGAGCTTATACTTTGCCAAGCAGGATCTACTTCTCCAACAATCGGTTCTTCCCGATGCCATGTCCAAAATGAGATGTCTTACCATCCTTGATTCTAGGGAGTCTTTGAACTGCTTGCCAAGACAGATTTGTCCAGTCTTCTGGCAGTCCATAACAAGTTCAATATTCTATGCCAACACCATCATTCAAAGGTTCTCAAGCCTTCAGACTCCTGCATAGCTAATTCAACTCACAGGGCTCCACTAAATTTTAATAAGATGCTTATAAATGATCGATTGAATCTGGTGGGCTGAGTAATGCCCCCCCCCCAAAAAAAAAAAAAGATACCCAGGTCCCTACTGCCTAGAATAGATGTTACTTTGTTGAAAAATGGCTTTTGCTGATATTCCATAAAAGCCAAGGGATATTTGCAGACAAAGGGATGCCAGGTGATGCAAGCAGAAGGGAAAGTTAGATACCCTTCCCCTGGTTTTGAACATAAAGGTTCAAACCAAGAAATAAAGCTCTAGATGCTATAAAAGGTGGCAAGGAAATCAACTTGATTCTAGACCCCAGGGGTCAGCAGCCAGCTGCTAGAGAGCCAGATTGCAACTCTCCGTCCCTACCTACATGTGGTTCGGAAGAAAAATTTCAGGGATGTTATTCACATAAGGATTTTCATTTGTAAAATTTTATGGTTCTCAATTTTTAAATTGTGAAGGACAGGATTGGCTCTTCCATCTCAAGTTTGCCAACCCCTTTACTAAAATGACCCATCTGTTCATCACAGTAGCAAACTTAGTTATGAAGTAGCAACAAATAATTTTATGGTTGGGGGGGCAACACAACATGAACGATTTAAGGGTTGCAGCATTAGGAAGGTTGAGAACCACTGCACTAGATTGTAGCCCATGAGAAGTTAGAACCTGAATGCTACATCTACAATGATCAGGAGACTCTGGCACCTGCTAGATTTCTGATGCTGTAGGATGGAACCCTGAGATCTGAGCACTGAAACTCCTAGACTCAGAAGACAGCTGTGACACCAGAGGAGCAGCATGATCAAAGGCAGCAACACTGAGCACACAAGTCCGAGCAATGGGCTTCCTGGTCCATGGAGCATGCAAGTGTAGTGCCTTTGGGGAGGAGGCTTCCTTGTGGAGTGGGGTGCTTCCTTTGTAGCATTTCCTGAGCAGGGCAGGGGCCAGTGAGCTGCATCCTTGGGGGGGGGGGGCAAGGACTAAGAGAGAAGCATGTCTGAGAAGAGACCATCCTGGTTGAAGAACTGTATTCTGAGCATTTTTGACCTTGCATTATAACCCATTCACTTCCCTAATAAACCCCATAGATGATTTTTTTTAAGTTCTCATAAAACCAGGTAGAGACTGGTCCTAGATAGAGAAGATGCTGGTGGGTAATCAGCCAGAGGCAGAAATTTCCGTCTTTTCTCAGTTGCAGCCCCTGCCTTTCATACTTCATGATCTTGAAAGCCCGGCTCCACCCACGTGATCTCTTAGAAGATGTGTCCATGCCTGTGGTCCAAGGGGTGGGTGCCGATGGTTGTGGCTACCTGGTTGCCCTCTGGCCTGGGGAATAAATGATGTGGAGGTCTATGGGAGTGGTGGGAGTGGCCTGTGGATGGCTCTGCCTCTACGCACCAGGAGTTTCTTCTGACTGCGCCAATCTTCTGCTAGAATCCCCGCCAAGAGTAGTAGAACCGCCGCACCAAGGCAGATCCGCACGACATTGACCTTGGTGTAGTCTTGGTGGGCAAAGTCTGGGTAGATGAGATACAGAGGCAGGTAAGAGAAGCTCATCTCTGGATCCACCCCAAGCCAGAGCCTGAGTTTCTCATAGTCCTATCCCCAAGCTGCGGGTCCTAGTCTCTCCTTGTTGGGCTGCCCATCTTTGGACTAGCGGTGTTTCTCCCCTCCCACCAAGAGTCAGGGCCAGATCGTTCCAATTAAGTGAACATTGCTTCCACCATACAGTCACTCCATGGCTGGTTAGCCAACTGGGGAAGATTGTTTATAAGGATTAGGGAGAGAGAGGGAGCTTCTCATCTCATTCTAAAATATCAACCTGTGCGCTGTATCTCATTGCTCGATTCCAGGCTTCATCATGTTGATGTCCCGGCCCTCAGCATCCCTCTAATACCTTACAGACCAGAACCCCAAATCATACTTGTGAAAAGGAATTTGCTTTAAGTGAAAAGGTGAAAGGGGAGCAAGCCTGAGAGGACCACTTACCATTATTTGGAAAATCTGACTCCTTTTGAAAGACAGTGATGTTCTCAGAGGTCCCTGGGAATCAAAACGGAGTGCTTCTGAAGGGTTTGCAGAAGGCTCGGGATGACGGTGAAAGCCCAAAATGCATTCACGGACTCCCCACGTGGATGAAGCCTCCCCGGAGCCCCCTCGGACCATTGACCAGAGATTGAATGGCCGAGTCCTCAGACAGCGTACATTGGAAAGCAGATTACTGTGGATGTAATTAAAACTCAACATCTTATCCTTTGTGTTCCTTGTGGACTCATTTATAACTTTCTCTTTTATGTTTTTTGCTTTTGTTTGGACTGAGGGTTTTCTCTGTGTTTTATTTTGCTGTTGGTAGTGGTTTGCTTTGAGGGCCGGGGGGGTCGTTTGGGGGATGTTGTCTTTTGTCTGTTTGTTTTGCTCTGTTTTTGTTTTGGGCGTTTTTTGCTATGATTTTCTTTCTATGACATCCAGGAAAGGTAAATCTGTAGAAGATAACCAGGTTAACAGCTTCTCAGAGTTATGGTAGGGGAAGTTTCAGGGAGATGGGGAGCTAGTCATAGATACAAGAATGAAGAAAAATACCTAAAATTGATGGTGGTGTTGATTGCAAACTCTTTGGTATATCTAAAGCATTCAATTGTGTGGCCCATGAGTTATATGTCCAAAAATTGGTTACTTTTTTTTCAGTGAAAAAAAAGTTCGAAGGATACAAAAGAGATCCCAAATTTAAGGAATGGGCTCCTATCTCCTGGCCCTGCTCCAAACATACACTTGGGAGGCAGAATCCCATGGCATTTAAGAAGAGCATGAACTATAGATTCAAGATGTGGAGACAAAAACTCAGACTAGATCGCTCCTTAGATGGGAGGCCTGGCCTCCAGGAACCAGTCTTCCCACCTGTCCAATGAAACTGTTGACACCACAGGTTGATATCCCCAATCTCAGAACCCACCTCCATTCCATTTCCTATCCCCAAGCCGGGAATTTCCGGGGGAAAGTAAGATAGTGTAATGAAATGGCTTAATAGCCTGCTGCCTTAAGGTTGTGTGAGCCCATCCTCACACCGTTGGGACCTAAAAGTGCCAGGTTATTCACCTGTTCGGGGGCCTTTGTTCACAGGTGAGATGTTCCATTTCCTGGAGACTTCTGGGAATTCTAATCAGGAAGAGTATAAGTAGTGGAACACCCCTTACTACTTATAAGTAGTAAGCAGTCAGGTATGTGAACTCTATGGACCCTCCCCTCCTTGGATACACGGCGCAGAGAGGAAAGATGCACAGGCCGGCCCCTAGACGTCTCTCTGTGGCTTCACAAGTGTATCCACTCATGAGCTGATGGACATTTAGATGAGTCCCCCTGTGTGGCTACTGTGAATAATTGCTGCTGTAAACATTCAGGTACACACGTGTGTGAATATAAATTTTCATTTTCTAGGGATATGCCTAGGCGTGGAATTACTAGGTCGTATAACTCTGCTTAACTTTTAGTGAACCTGCCAACTTTTGTTTGTTTGTTTGTTTGTTTGTTTTTCCAAATCAGCTGTGTGAAGCGTTATCCTCGACACTTGTTTCGTTTTGTTTTTCTGTATTGTTGCAATATCCTAGTGGGTGTGGTAAATGTTATGGCCTGTAAATTATAACTTAACCCCAAAGGCTGAACCAGCTCCTGAAACTATTGCGCTGAGATTATCTTTGAAACAAAAAATAATCCCCTGAAGTCATCTTCAAATAGTAGTTTAGCTTAACGAGTTTGAGACACTGGTCTTCGATGGAAGAGATATGTAGGTTGGGGTCACTTACTGGCAGCAGTCTGACCCTTTTATCAGCTTCAGCCTTTACCTCTTCCTGCTCTTCATACTTCACAATGGCTACCATATGCATGTGAAGCAAACTCACCCAGGAAGCTCCATTTTTGTCATCTGCTAGGTGACTGGCCCGTTTCCCCCTCCCATCTCAGAAAGCTGACTGCTAGTTGACCTGCCCCCTCCCACTTCCCTTCTGGGAAATCTCCCAGTGATTAATTTTAAAATGTACTCTCAGGTTCCAGTGTTCAGAAGATTGTAAATAGTTTTGACTGTTCTTTAATATATTGCTTCTTTTGGTTATCTTTCAGTCTTGTTCCTTTTGATGTTGTCATCTGAACGGTGTAAGTAATCTTGTTATGTTAACCAGGATGTTGTTATCAATTCTGGTATGTTTCCTGGGAAACAACTTTAGTTTCTTGGTAGCCTAGCTAGCTGAATAAAGACTCTTCTAAATGTCAAGACATTATAGTGGCTGTACCCGCACACATTATGGTCTTTAAGAGCTAAATGAAATCAGACGGACAACAGCAACTACAAAAATTGGGTAGGAAACTTAGGGGGCAGTGATTTCAATTAAATTCATGGAATTTTCCCATTAATGTTCTGAAGCCCTTTCATGTTCCACTGTGTGTACACTCAACAAAACAAGAATTTTAAAATATAGACCTTTGGGGGTAGAAGGAGCGGATCGTTGGGTCTATGTGGCTTTAATGGGTGAACAAACTGACACCAGACCAGCCTCCTTAGAGGCCATGTTATTACCCAGGGACTCCCCAGTGTTTTACAAATAGTTCCCTGACCCCCTCAACCGATAAATATGCAAATGGGGGCCTTCTCTGCAAACCTTTTTATAGTAGAACCAGTTCAGCAAAGCCTAGCCCATCTGTCTAGCTCACCTGTCTTTAGTAGAACAAGAGCTTGGTGCTGACTGCTCTTGTGAGTTTTCATCAATGCTAGATATTAGAGGAATGCCTTCTTGTGGGCCTGGCCTTCTCATGAGGATTCTAGGAACTTCTCTCTCTCTCTCTCTCTCTCTCTCTCTGTTTCACCTTCCTGTTAACAAGCCACATGGAGCCACACTGATGGCAGCCAGAGCCCTGAAGATGAATCCACCACCATTAGATCCACAAGACTTTGCACCCACCAGCCTGTGATCTTCCTGCATTCTGCATCACTGCACGTGCCTGTGTGAATCTGAAGAATGCTTTATGTACTAGTATCAGACTTATGGATTAATAGCAGACTTATGGACTTGATCTGAACTGGGCTGGGATGTTTTCTTAATATACAATTGCTCTTTGATATAAAGCTCTCTCTTACATACATATGAGTGTCAACGAATTTGTTTCTCTAGTCAACCTGAACTAACACACTCGACATGTTCTCGGTCACCTGTGGCCTTTTTTAACATGTCTCTGGTTCCTTGGGACCTAGAATTGCCATTGAGATAGAGAAACTGTTAAAGATTTCACAGCCTGCTTGATTGTTTATGAAAGCACACATTATGACCCAGGACACCAGAACCAGTGGAGATGCTTTTGAAAAGAAGCGATGCTGAACACACAGATTCAATGGTTCTCACAGTGGGTTCCCCAGGCCGGCAGCATCAACATCACCTGGGAACTCATTAGACATGGTGACTGCTGATCCAGAGGAACTAGACGGTGCCCTGCACTACCACAACCAAGCATTCAGATCAGGGTCACAATAGATGGACGCTGACAGAATGGGAGAGAAAAACACAGGACAACTCAAATTCTTCATGAGCCCTGACACCCTGAGCCTGTTGTGACTAGATGACTCCCAGAGATGATCACCCTGAGATTTCCTTGACACTTCAAACGAACAATCCCCAGAGGTCGGTCACCTTTTAACAGAAGAACAGATTGGCTTACCAAAGAAAGGCTATTAACTGTGAGTATGATGCTTCATTGAAAAACACTACCATCAAAAGGTCAACGGTAATGAGAGCAAAGAAAAAGGAAATCTCAGGATGATCATCTCTGGGAGACATCTAGTCACAAGGGAGGAGGGGTTCTGGAAACAGAAGAATCAGAACACACAAAGAAGACTTACCAAGAACTCACTCAACAATTGGTATACAACCGTCAACTAGAAATGTCATTTTCTGTGTAAACTTTCACCAAAAACACACATTTTTTAATGAAAATGGTTTTGGACCCACACCAGGAGGCATTCTCAATCAAAAACTCTGGGAGTGAGGCCCGCCCAAATAGCTTGACCTGCTTCTTAGAAGAGCCCCAGGTGGCACAATGGTTTAGCACTTGGCTGCTCCTGGAAAGGTTAGTGGTTCAAACCCACCAAGGGCTCCACTGGAGAAAAGGCCGGCTTCCATAAAGTTTACTGCCTAGGAAACCATGGGGCAGTCCTACTAGGTCCTATTATAGGGTCATGATGGGTCAGAATTGGTACCCATCAGGTCCATCAGGTACCCATCGGGTCCAATGGTACCTGACAACAGAATGATTTGTATGAGCATATAGATTGAGAACTACTGAACTAAAGAATTGGCATGCAGAAACAGAGTACAGGAATCCACAATTTGACAAACTGCTGAGGTTATTCTTCTACACGTCTGATAGTATTCATCACTGGTCTGCAATAGGCTAGAGGCAAGGCATGGGTCCGTTGTATCTATCTATTTATTCTAATGAGCCCTGGTGGCACTGTGGGTAAGCAACTGGCTTCTAATGG